AGTGCTGTGTCTAGTTCCCCATGAGTGAAATTCATTATTTGTTCTTGTATATTTTCCGTGGTTTTGTTTTCTCTAGGTATGTATGGTATTGCTATTGATTCTAGGTATTCTATTGCCCTTTCGTCTGGTATTTGTTTATGTGTTTCTCCTTTCTTTTTATTTTCGAATTTTTTTACTATTCCCCATACATAGCTGACAGGCTTCTCTGTTGATGGTGCTTGTGAATTCCATGAAGCTATTTTTTCTTGTTATTTTCATTGTCCTCTTAGCTTTTGCTGTAGATTTTTTTGCTGTTATGTATTTTTCTATAGTAAAATTACTTTTAAAGTCTCCCAATGTGTTTCATCCTTCTTCTATGGCATCTGCACATTCTTGGTTCCACCAGATTGGCATTGTTGTGTGTTTTTTTTTTCTTTGTATTGTTTTTTCTCAGGTATTGACTTGTTTGCAGCTTCTTTTATAACTCTTGTGATGTCTCCATAGCTTTCTATTTCTTCCTCTTCCATGATTTCTGTATACATTTTCCAGTTCGCCTTCTTTGTATTCCATATTCCATGTGGTTTTCTGTTAGTATATTCCTGAACTATTTCTTGATTGAATTCTACCAGCGTTGGATAGTGATCGCTTGCCCCATTGTCTTTTATTGTCTTCCAGTTGCGTCCGGTTGCTAATATTGATTTCCAGAAAGATATGTCTGGGCAACTTTTACTTTGTCCTGGCGGAGTTATCCTTGTGGGTTCCCCATTGTTTAGGAATGTGTATCTCTTCGTTTCCATAATATTTATCAAAATTTCACCTTTGGTGTTTATTCTTTCTGATCCCCAGGCTGGGTTTTGTGCATTTAAATCAGCCATGAATATGAGTGGTTTCTCGATTTGATTGAAAATTGATTAGAGTGTATTATTGTTGCATTTGATATTCGGTGAGATGTAGCTAGTCATTATAATTGTATTGTCTATTTCTATTGCCAATACTTGGATTTCTGCTGTCATTTGGTTTGTATAATCACTTCTTTATATTTTATTCCTTTTTTTATCATGATGATGACTCCACCATATCCATCTTGTCGGTTTTTATTTATTGACATATATCCATGTATCTTGTATGTTTGGTTTGGTTTTAGCCAAGTTTCATTAAGTAGAATGAAATCAGGCTCTATTCCTGAAACAAATATTTATTTTTAGGTTATCTCCATTTGCTTTGATGCTCCTAATATTCCACTGCAATATCTTCATGCCCACTACCATTGTGTGATCTTTTTTTTTATGTATATTTTAGTTTTTTAAAGCCTTATTTTAGATAAAATTTTAACATTACAACACATTTAAATGAAAAAAAAAATACAATTCGCATTTCACCTTCCTAGGTTATATTTTAGGCCTTCTGTGCCTTTTTTCTTCTTGTTCTTTGTCATTTTCTTCTTCTGCAGGTTCCATTCCAATTATTCTGTTCAAAAGCTTTGCCATAAGTTCTAATAGTTCTTCTTTATCTTTTTCTTCCATCTCGGTTGTTGATATTTCACCTTTGAATAGTTCGTAGCTTTCTTTAATTTCTGTGTTATATGTTTCTTCTGCTTTTTTCATGATGCTTTTTGTTCCTGTTGAATTTGGGTACAAGATGTCGTTATGTGCTTCTTTGTCATAACCTTTTTCTTGTTCCCTAGGTATTTTTGTTGATATATGCGCTTCCTTGCTTTTTGTTCCTGTTATTGTAGCATAATTTGTTGCCTGAATTGTTCCTGTTTGTGCTATTTTCCTTCTTTCCGCCACTGTTATTGTTTCCTTTACTGTGCTTGTTTGTTTTGGTAGTTGCGGGAATTGTCTAGTGTCCTGTGTAAATTTTTGAGTAGTACATCTTTTGTTCGCATCATAGTAAGAAAGGTTCTCCAGTGCCATCAGCTCCTTTATTATCTTTTGTCTCATGTTTTCTGGACATTCTCTGTCTGTGGTGCTATGTTTCTTCTTGTTGGTGTCTACTTCTGTCTTGCAGTATAAGCATGTTTTTTCCTTGTTTTTAGATTCCGCTTTATTATGTTCTTCTGTGCAATTTGTACATCTCAGTTTTCCCCTCCATTGTTTCTGTGAGTGACCATATCTTAGACATTTGTAGCTTAATACTACTGGGCTTATATAGGGTTTTATTTCTCTTCTGTTGAGCATGATGTTGATGTACCTGGGTAGAGTTTTTCTTATGAATGTTACTGTAATAGTGGTAGTGGGTACATATATTATTTCTTTATTTTGCTGCACTACTCTCTTCTTGATTCTTCTAATTTCCAAGATATTCATTACCGCTGATGAGTATTTCATTGGTGTTTCTTCCGACTGGTGTGGGTCTACCCCATGTACCACCCCTTTACATGAAACCATAGCATTTAAGTCCCTTCTCTTCTATTTTTTTGTTGCTGAGGAATTCAATTGCTTGTTCGGCTTTATAAAATTCTATGCTTACTTTGTCTGCTCCTTGTTTTCTAATGTTAGAGATGCCTTCTACCTTCTACCTTTATTTCAATAAACATTTTCCCCAATGCCATTGGGTGGTAGTTTCCAGGTTTTTTGTCTGTCCTTGTGCTATTACTAGATATGGTCCTGAGTCTTTTGGTTGGTATTTTATGTTAAATTTTTCCGTGAATTTTGAATATCTTTGTAGATTTTCTGTTGATGTTTCCATATTTTCCACTTCATCATCTTTCTTCTTATCAGGTGGTTCTGTTGGTTTCCACCTATCCGGCGGCTTCCCCGCCATCTTGTTATCTCGTTCTCTAGTTTATTGTTGTTTGTGTATGTTTCCGACTGATTTCCTAGTGATCCGTCTATTTTGTTCTAAAATAAATTCTAATAATTCACTTACTTGTTTTGCTGTGTTTGATTTTGGGTTTATTTTTTCCAACCGTCCTATCTTGGTACTTCCTCAAATTTTTTCCTCAATCCGTGTGCACACCTCGGAAGTCAAAGCGCAAATCCCCGTTTGAATGTATGTTTGTCAAATCCATTTCCACCTGCCAATATCCACTTCCAAGTCCAAAGTAGAGAAAAGTTCTGATTCCGCTAACGTGTCGAGTGTGTCGTCAATACGAGGCAAAGGATAGCTGTCTTTCTTCGTCACGTTTTTCAATCGGCGATAGTCCACGAAGGAGGATAGGGGGAGGAGGTAGGTGTTGGAATTTTTTTGGAACTTTTGGAGAAACGAGTTTTGATATAGTGCTGTTCGACATATTTCGAGGTTGACAACAAAAGGATGGGATGACTGCGCTTGTCGAGATCGTCTGGCTGGTATTGCTAGTCGTCGAATGATATCAGAGATTTCTAAGGACCATTTCCAGTAGAACTTTCTATAAAAAAGTGGAAGGTCGTCGACAGTATTACCCGTTTCCCCGTAGGAATGAAGCATTTCCCCGCGGTAAAAAGTAGCCTATGTTCATCAGAGATAATGTGTCGGCTTCTAATGATAATAAAATTTCACAAATTGGTCCAGTAGTTTCGGAGCCTATTCAATACAATACAATACATTAGTTGCCTTGGCGTGCTGTGACTTCTCGAACGTTCTCAATCATCTTCCGTACCCTTCTATTGTTCTGGAACATTCTTAGAACATTTCCTCTCTCCCTCTCTAACAGTTCCATCGATGCTTCGAAATTGCTTCGAGAATATTCTGTCGCCACGATACATATTGGGTGTTCAGAAATATGCAGATACATGTAAGAATCATTGGGATGTTCGAGAAAAATCTGGGATGTGTGGTGCAGGTAGATCGTTGTACTCCTGCCTGATGTTCTAGTGCCCCTCTCGGAGAGAATATGCCCAATACATAAAAATAAACTGATTTTTCATGAAATTATCTATTCTATAGAAGAAAGAATAATCGAATCGGATTTGAATTGATATAGATATTGATGAGCAAACTCCATATACAGCTCCCCTCACTTCAAATCCCCTTTTCTGCATATCTCAGCTAGTCGTGCGATTCTCACCAAATTTGGATTGGAATCAATATCCATCAATATGATCAGTTTTTCAGAGAAGAACAGCATCTTTAACAGTACCGTGCGCTTTTATCGTAATAATAATAATATTAAGAATTTTTTTCTACAAACTTCAAAAAATGACAAGGTTCGGGCATTGATAACAATTTGCAAAGTGACACTTTTTTTCAGTTTCCTACGTTTCCACGACGCCATCTGTATTCAAACTTTATGATCCTCAATCGAGCAAACTTCAAAGAAATCATTTATTTCTGAATGTTCAACAATAATTTTATGATCTCTTGGAGCGCACGAACATCGTGCGTACTATAGAGGGAATAGGGAGAGGCCTTTTAAGCCAGTTCAACACTATTTTTCATATTAAACTGGGCATATTACTACTTCAATACTATATTTTTCGACGTTTGTAGAAAAAATGTTGTTTGCAACTCATGCGTGAAATACTTTGATCATCTCGACTATTTTTGTAACTCGGCTGCGCCCGTAAGGAAAATCAGTTCCAGATCACCAAATTAGTATTTCGTGCACTTGGTACAAAAATAACTATTTTGCAGGAAGACTAACTTCATATATTATTCCTCATGCTTTCGAACCTCCATTTGCAAAAATTCACTCATATGAAACTACTAGGATCAACTAAATTTATTTAATTTTCTGTCTCAAAAAAATAATGAATTAAGATTAACTGCAATTTTTGAACTTTAAATAGCTTCAGAAGGTGAAATATTATGGTTCAAACAAAAAAAGAAAAAATGCTTCTTTTTGTTGAACGCACCTTTTCCGAGTAAATAATTATTTACATTCGCAAAAATGCGGTTTAGATGTGCCTGTTGTTTTGAAACCCCTCATAGAAATTATACGAAAATACACTTATGGGAGTTAAAAACCATGATGAACAATACTATGAGAATAGTTTTCCTGTAAAAAAATCCTTATATGATTTCTGAAAAATCGTCCCCTCATTATTTTAATAAAAACAGAATACATAACTATTTGTAATCGTGTGTACTATTTTCAGGATATGATCTTTAGTTGTGAGGGTATCACACCAGATATCATCATCAATCCTCACGCCATCCCTTCCCGTATGACGATTGGTCACTTGATCGAGTGTATCCAAGGAAAAGTTTCGTCGAATAAGGGAGAAATTGGTGATGCAACACCATTCAATGACGCTGTTAATGTACAGAAAATATCGCAGTTACTTCAAGAATATGGGTATGTAAGATAATTTGCATATTTCATATAGCCGATTTTTGCTTTGCTCTACTTTGAAACCATCAAAAAGTAGAGACTATAATAGTAGATTGTTCAAAATGAATTTCATGAAAAACCTAGAATAATTTGTCAATTCAGGAGTTACATTCTTAGTTGGATCCAATAGCCAACATTGCCCTAAACATACTTGTCCAATATCTATAGTGGCAATATTGAATTCAAACTATACATTTCCAGAACGACTTAATCCACATGTATCTGCTCTAAATCAGTGCAATCCAGTCAACTACGCTATAAAATATGCATCGGCCCATATCCCCTAATTAACTTTAAAATTGAAGGCATTTATTTGACCAGGAACAAAAAATATATCCTTTGGATCATTTCCTATTTGAAACTAAACTACAAGTTTCCTTCCCGAAACAAATATCTAGCTCCGCCCACTGAATTTTGCGTTAAAGCTACGGTGAAATATCACACGTACTAAAAGTCGATGAAGTCTAGGTGACTTAATGTCAATTTTACCTATTGATCATTTATGTATTATTTTATTGTATGAGGAAAGGACTTCCTTCTGACCTATATTTTTGACCCAATGCATAGAGTCATTTATATATATTTGAAAAATTTGTGTATGAGGTTTTATTTTTGAAAAACTACAAAAATGATGACGGCGTCCTGACTCTTTGAAATCAGCAAATGCAATTCGAATCAGAAACAATCAACACTTGATAACAACAATTAATCAGATGTAGGTACAGGGTTCTGAGAATTCAAGGATTACCGATAGAATTTTGACTCAGATTTTGAAAACCGTAAAAGATACAAAGATAAATGAGACAATTCGCGTTTTGGTATGTTCAATAATTTTCTTATTAAAGAAGTTTCTTCAATATAGCATTATCAACGTTTCAAAAGTTTGTTTGATAGTGACTTAATGCTCAGCAGACTAGACGAAATATTGAGTTTAAAATTCATACTCATTCTAATTTTTCTCTTTATTTGAAAGGATATCAGAATCTCTATTGAAAGTGTGAAAATCATTAGTGCACCTAGTGACAACTCTTCTCTAGTCTAGAAATTAGAGAACTATTATGTGAAGAATGAAAGCAATAAAAAAGTTTAAAATATTCCATAACCTAGTAACGTGTTGCATGAACATATTTTAGTTTTTTCTCAAATGTATACATTTTCCCCCATTTAACTGACGCTCCACATCTTATCTTTTCTAAGATTTCTATTCTGTACATACTTTGTATCCCAATTAATATATTTGAAGAGAGTAAATGCTTTCATATTATTATAGATATCAACTTAGAGGCAATGAAGTTATGTATAACGGACACACAGGAAGGAAGATAAATGCTCAAATATTCTTGGGGCCTACCTACTATCAACGTTTGAAGCATATGGTAGATGATAAAATTCACTCAAGGTAAGTTTTATTATTTAATTACCTATGTTAGCATCTTCAGGAGAAGATTGAAACTAAATGTTCTATCCTAGTGTGCTACTTATATACTAGTTATAAGTTCACCCAACCGTGAGAGACACTAACCAAGTTAATGTTATTCATGGTTGAGTTCACATGTTAACCTTGATCTTATATCACTGAACTATACAGAGGGCTAAATGGAATAGATCATTACTTCATTACTACTCTTAAATATCACTTAGCTTTCCTAACATTATTAAATTACTCAACTAATTTGAGGTTATTAATATGTGTGTTATAACACACCCCGGTTTCGGATATCACCATACTGTGCATACTCATTAGTCATGTTTACCTCATTATCATGTTGAAATGAAGGTACTATTTTGTCATATATGTTTATTTCATTCATTCCTGCTTTCTTCTCAATATAATGATAAATCAATTATCATTTATGTTCCAAGGAGAGCTATCAACGATCAAACATTTTGAAGATTCCTGGTAGGATTCTACGCGGTGATCGCATGTGGTAACGTTCCGATTGCCCCCGGTAAATGACAATTTTTTTTGTCGCCAACCCTAATGAGGTACATTGCTTTTGTATTCTGAACAACGGGATTTGAGAGACTGACTTAACTGATAGTATTCCATAAACTGTGTTATTAGATACCAGTTATGAAAATATTTTAGTCTACCACAATAGTTTTCTGCCTCATTAATTTCCTGGAAGTCCGGCGATAGTCTTAATAGTCACATAGTTGCTCCCCCTCTCTTGTCCTCTGAATGATGGTTTGCGTCCTTGATAGGTCTTGAAAATGGAGGGGGCGGGGCGTTGGAAGTTTGAACGCCCGGAAAAAGAAGATGAGGGTTTGGACACCTGGAAACTTTGGTCCATGATTTTTTTCTTGATCGGTTGTTTTTTTCTCGCCTTGATTTCCATCACAGATTTTGCAGCATTTTGAGCCGCTCTCAGTTCTTCCACTAGACTTTCACGGCAGAGAAATGTATCTGGTGTGCTTCCACGAATGATTTCCTTGACATTTTTATGGACCTGGGGGTAAATATGAAATCTTCTGTGGGCAGATAACATATTGATAGAATCGGCCAATATCCTGCTAGTTTCCATTACCACAGATAATTTATTGCCATGAGGACAATTCTATTTTTGAGGTAATTGTCGGCCACCTTCGACTGTGCGCTTAGTGCGGTTGCAATCCTGGCTTGGATTTCTTGTAAATGTTTGTCACTAATTTGATTAATATCAGAAATATAATGCGGCCTAGGCATAGAAATAACTACTTTTCTCACACACTTCGTTGAAAGTGTATATTCAGAACAGCTACTTTTGTTTTTCTTTACTATGACACAGGGAAGGGAGACTGAAAGCGCTGTACTTGTCATTTTCTCAAAATGTACTTTGTGGAATTCGAGGTGGAATATCAATAATCTTTCATCTACTTGTGTCTTCAATAGTAGAATGTTATTCATTTCTCAACTCGTTACTAGAAGATGAGTGTTTCAAAACTCTCAAGATAGTTTTTAAATAAGCCATTACCGATAGCCAAAATCTAATGTTTTCCCGTGTATAATAAATACACTTTTTTTTGTGACGTAAAAAAATGATATAATATTCAAGAAATATCACAATATATCAAAATCAAAACATTATCCATGTTTTCAACCTGTAGGCTGTTGTGCTTATCGCGACAATGGGCGTGTACACCTTAGTAGAACTTTTAACTCAAACTCATGTTTATAATGATCCTTTCATACATAAATAATGATTGACAACATAATTCGATCGAAAAATTAACTGGAATGCTTCATTTTTGGACATAAATAATAGTTCCTTCTGAAAACGAGACCTCTTATGACGTAGAAACCTCATCTCGCCATTGTTAAAAGAAAATACCTAACGCTCGACGGAGACTGAGGCAACTGATATATCAATTCTTTCAACTGTGATCTCGCGCTAATTCACTCTGACAGAAATCATGTATCATTCATCTCTGTCTGGAATAGTCTTGTTTCAGTATAAGGGTTTCGACGTCACATCATCGCCCCGTTTTCAGAGGTCCCAAAAATCGGGGATTTCAATAATTTTTTATAAAACGTAGGGAGCTCACAGCAAGAAACGGTTTGCGGTGGTGAGCTAGTTTGGGTGAGTTCTATCGAATTATGAAATAATTTTTCTTGTGATACAAGCCCATCAAGCCTGCGTTGCTAAAGAAACCGTTTGAAGCAATCAAATATCTGTCAATTTAATTCTGTATTTTGATTAAAAAACTGCGAACTCAGTAGTTGTTCAGTGATTCGCGAAAAGGCGTAGTTATTTATGATATATGGAATGGTAGATGGAAAATACATGCAGTTCTTTTTCGAAGACGGAGTTATTGACTTATTTTTCGGAATTAGCACAACAACAGAAACCATCATGTCACTTTTTTCCCGTTATAAAAAGTAAATTTATGGAAAGTGAAATTTTGTTACATGTCAACAAAGATAAAATGTCAAAGTTTTTTCCCGTCACAGAAAAAAATTATTCATAACCGACATCGAAATGTTTTCAATTTTTAACTAACGTTTCAAAATGGGGCACTTGAGATCAGGGTGTCCCTGAGAGGTCTTCACAAAAACTTGACACATATTTCTCACACCAAAACAATTCGATACAAGCAAACTCACCTCAGTACAAAGTTACTTACTTTGGGCGCTAGACGGCTCTGAAGTTACAATTTTCAAATCGTTTTTGCTTCATAACTTCTAAACGGCTCATTAGGTTTCACGCAAATCTGGTACGTTGGCGAAGATTCATTGGACAATAAAACCCATATCATGATTATGATAAATATCGTTCTATGGCCGCAGAACTTAATTTTTCCAGTAAATAATCACCTCAAACATCTACCCCAATGAAAAGAAAGGGGTTCGACTATAAAATTGGATTGTGGAACTTGTTTAGTAGAAAAAATATACTCCTAAGGAAATTCCATTACTATTATGATTTCGACAAAATTTGAATTTTAGTAATTAAATGCATGAGTCAACACTAAAACGATTAACAGATATTTCATAAAGAATGTGCAAAATTCTGATCATATCCATGTATTCAAATATTCATACGGCGAAAGAAATTGAAATGGGCTTTCAGCTATTTTTTGTTGTTGTTTTTTTGTACTGAGTAAGCCAGAGCCCTCTAGCGACCAGACTGAGCAACTATTTACTGTGGTGAATTTGCTTGTATCCATCTTTTTCGTCGTATAAATATTTGTATACGTGACATGTCTGTTGATCGTTTCAATCTTAACTGATACTTTGAATTACTATTATTCAAATCTTGTCGAAACCATGAGAGTAATCGAATTTTATCAAGAGTACCTTTTTCGTAGTAAACAAGTTACGCAAACCAAATTTCATATTCAAACCCCTTTCATTTTATTGGTGTAGACGTTTTAGATATTTAATCACTGAAGTTATCAAGTTCTACGCCCATGGAATGATGTTAACGTACCAAAATTCAAGTGAATTTTCATGAGTCGTTTCAAAGTTATAAAACAAACAAGATTCGAAAATTGTAACTTCGAATCGCCTCGTGCCCAAACGCAGCAACTTTGTACTGAGGTAAGTTTGCTTGTATCGGATTATTTTGGTCTGAGGAGTATGTGGTGAGTTTCTGTAAATACCTTTTAGGGACACCATGTATATAAGTCATGATTCTACCTTTTCAATCTCAAATATCCAATTTGAAACTTGAATGCTTCAGTTCCATCCTTGCATATGTATGACTTTTTAATTTCGTTTTCAAATTGAAAGGTATTGCATTATAATTGTGCCATGCGAAAGCGATGCACACTCTTCAAGCTTTTTATTCGTCTGGCTTTGACAAACATACATATATATTAAATAATTATCAATGAGCATAGAATTTCTACTTCAGGAAATGTGACAGTTTCCTTGAACACCAAGGCCTCGTGTGTGAATTTCTGGCGGACGGAAATTTTAAAATCTCTTGAACGAACCCTGTATTCTTATATGTTGACCCCTACTTACGGATTCAACTATACGAGGTGGAAAAAACTTTAAATAAAAAAAATTTAGTGTTTCATCTGTACTATCATCTTCATTCCTAAAATGAACAGATGCATATCGCAAAATTAGAAAGTGTCATTTTTTTCAACGGAATACCCTGTATATTTTTAACTCTAGGGAAAGATTTTTTTGTTAACAAAAATAAGCCGATTGTCCATACTCTCGAAAACAGGTGACACTATCAATGTTCTGAAAAAACTGGCTTTGAATCTTGAGCTATGAGCTAAAGGTCCGGTTTTTCATGAAAGTTTCCATCTTTGGGTAGTTGGTTTGCAACTTCGAAGTAGTGATATACCAAAAATTTTAAAGAATATCAATAAATAATTATTTCGCAAATGCACCCTTTGATTCCATTTATGCCTTGATTAAGCACGTATCGAAGTTATTGAAAAATATTGTGGTCTCAAATCCTTCTGTATGTGAATTCTTTGGCACTGATTACAAAGGGACAAAGAAACATTTCTACTTCCTAATCCTAGTTTTATCTTCTCATGATACAACTGTGTTATGCTGCATGTATAAATCGCGTAAAAAGTTCAGGATACTGTCTGGCTGCATCACAATATTTGGGATTGAAAAGGAAAATTATGAACAGATAGGTCACAGACTTTGTCACCATCAGGATACCAATAAAAGTCAATCAATTTGTTTTATTGTTCATGGTTATAACCTACCATCCCCTATAAATATTTTATTTTTGACAGTAGAACAAGAATGATAAACTGCCCTAAAAGAGATTCTGGTTCCTTCTCGAATCAACAGATACATTTCCACTATCTGAGAAAATATAACAGGGGTCAACAAAAGTATAGGAATTTCGAATTGGAACACTATACAGGGTATGTCCCGACGAGCTTACACTACCTTTATATCGAGAATCAGTCGGGAGACTACTACTAGAAAGTAGTAGCGACATTGATATTTCAAATAGAACACCTTGTATGTTATCGCATTTTTAGATTCCCTCTGGAGAGCTGATTTTATATATCACATATATATCACACTTGGGATCTTTCTAAAAAGATTACAGAGATATTGGGTGTTCAAAATAGAGATTATTCAACTTCAGAATTTTCTGTGTCGAAACTATTCATTATTAGTCAAAACGGCTCACATGTCCCAATCTCAACTTTTGATTCACGATATACTAGTATTTAATCGGAACAGATACAGGGTGGTTCAAGATTCAAAATTCTGATCCCCCTGTATCTGTTCCGATTAAATATCAGTAAATAGTAAATCAAAAGTTGAGATAGGGACATATGAGCCGTTTTGGCAGATAATAAATCGTTTTGATACAAACAAATCCTAAAGTTGTAAAATCTCGATTTTGAAGACCCTATATCTTTGTAATCATTTCCGATAGACCCCAAGTGTGATGCATCCATTGAATCAGCTCTTTAGAGAGAATCTTGAAATGCAATAAAATACAGGATATTCCATTTGAAATGAAGAAGTTGTTGCTACTTTTTTATAGAAGCGGCAACACTGCATTGCTGAGAATATTTCAAATGAAGAGAGCGTATTCTAAAATATAAGCATGCACATTTCCATGGATTAGAGATTGTGTAAGCTCGTCGTAACATATCCTGTATACATTTCCTCACTATCGGAAAGTCCAAAAATACGTCACTCAATATGTTAATCGTCTGTGTTTCACAGTCAAAACTAATAGAGCTTGATCTTTTGAATAAAAACAACATAGTATTTTCTTGCAAATCATTCGAAAATCTGAAAAAAATACGGAATTGAATGTGTGATGATACTATTTAAAAAATAAGAAATCTGTCCACTGGGCTATTACAAAAAACTACATAGTGTCGTCGGTATAGGGTTTCACATGACAAACTGCTTATAATTCAATTCAAGAATTATTCACAAGAAGTATTTTAATAAATGTGTATGATTGCTTATTAAAAAAATGATGATAAAGTCAAATTGGCAAAAAATATTTCACATAGTACAAACTGATATATCCTGAATAAATTATATCGCTCTGACACAACATACTCTAGCTCTTCAACGAACCCTACTAGTCTATAATATATAAACTACCTATTCACTTTGTCCTCTATATTTCTCAATAATTCATCACCCATTTGATTTATCTACTTATCTGTAAAGAAATTGAATGATCTTGTATTTGAGCATCTCACTTTTGGATCTACTTTTGAACGTCATGCACTTTTGAATTTGCTACTGAACTTCTTTCAGAGCCAGAGGTCCAGTCCAGATCTTAGTCCGTCAACCCATGGAAGGACGTGCCAGGGATGGTGGGTTACGTTTTGGAGAGATGGAGCGAGATTGTCAAATTTCTCATGGTGCAGCACAATTTCTTAGAGAGAGACTGTTTGAAGTGTCTGATCCATACAGGATACACGTCTGCAATTTTTGTGGTCTCATCGCTATCGCTAATATGAGAAATAATACTTTTGAATGCAAAGGATGCAAAAACAAAACACAGATTTCACAGGTTAGGTTACCTTATGCTGCGAAGTTGCTGTTTCAAGAGTTGATGTCCATGAATATCGCACCTAGGTTGATGGTATTATAAGATTATTTTGAGTAGGTCCAAGTAAATAAGTATCTGAATATCATTTGAATTTAATTTGTATACTATTCTTATGTCATTGATGTATCCGTCAATAAAATGTTCAATATATTTGTCTTATTCTTTCTATGCCTGTAAAATTGACAGAAGTCTGAAATCTAATATACAATCAAACAGAACTATGCCCCAGGGCACCTACCCTGAAATTTTAATTAGCGACCTCGATTTATGTTCTAATTTCTGAAATTCTTATTATTTTTCCTCAAAATGGCAGTACATAACCTTTTATCGAACGGCACCTGTGCCACACTTTATCCTGAGAAAACTGATTGAAAAATTGGATATTCGCGAAGGTGACATTATCCCCTTTTATTCGCATTTTTATTCCAACTCCTTGACACGTGACGAAAGTATGTCCGTAATAACGGGAACAAAAAATCGTGCCGGGGATTTTTCTCCACTTGAAGGCTAGACAGGTGGGATTTTGAGATCGACTTTTCAATTGGTGTCGGATGGAAAAAGTCTTATCTCGTTATCAAATTTGCGAAATTTTGCGCAAAATACTTCACAGGAAAGTGCAACTTTTCAATCATTTTGCTCAGGATAGTGATCGACACAGGTGCCGTTCGACAAAAAAATATGTTTACATCTCAATGAATGTGAAATATACTGCTGTGTACATAGGTTAAAACAGAAAAATGTCCTCAATACACATGGTGTAAAATTCTCCAATGCCTTACCTAACTGGATGAAGGCTATAAAATGTGAAAAAATTCTCAAGTCTGAAATCAAAACGAAACTAATTCAACTGGAACCTTATAACCTTGTAGACTTCTGTATATGATGATTTCCTCTATACCTTTTTTGTTGACGTAATTTCTTTTGTCTGATTTACCTGAACCACTTGTTTCTGTATCTCTTACAATATGAAATAAATATTATTATTATCATCTCTTTAGGATATTTGTCACTTTGTTATCATAGTACGGTCGAAATTTGCAGCCGTCTGTCCCACTACAAATAAATTGAAATTATACGCATATTTTTATTTCATAGAATGAAAACATCCTGTAACTCATTTGTAGACTAAAATCACTCATCCCAGCCAGCACAAAGAGGTCCTGAAGATATCTTGAAGAAGTCCTTCTAGGAAATTGTGATGCCTTTTGTAACTTCTTTGAGAGATCGCCGAGAGTGCTATATCTAGGCCAAATGTCCGCAACCTATAGGCTGAGCTCAGCGAGGTCTTGAAGATATTGCACGCAGAAATTCTCATACAATGCCCTCAGGCGCGCACTTTGAGATAAACGCTTCAATCGCCACTGGCGAGAACTGAAAATGCTCGCAATCATGAGCTGTTCGAGAAATTCGCATACATTGCTTTGTGACGAGGACATTGGGAGATTCGCATCAATTGCTTCTGGCGAGGTCTTTAAGTGCTCGCGACTACGAGCTGTTTGAGATTTTCGCACGCATCGCCTTGTGAAGAGAACTTTGGATATTTCGCATCAATTACTAATAGCGAACTCTTCAAGTGCTCGCAACTATGAATTGTTCAAGAATCCGTGCACATCGCCTTATAACAAGGCCTTTAAGAGCGATATTTGCATCAATCGCCACATGATCGCCACTAATATGGTAAGGTGTTCAATTTTTGGGAAGTCATTGGTTATCATCAGCACTCTCCTGTCGGCGAAGTCTAACTAGCGCCAGCTATATTGTTTGGGGTGAAGTTAAATTTACTGGATATTTGTTTCAGCGAAAAAGATTGAGTTACTAAACTTAGAGTTAGATCAACGTAATGAGCTTCAATTATATATTATTCTATAGCAAGACATTGATCAAGTAAACTTTATCACTTGAAAAAAATCTCTGAGGAGTTGGCCGGGTATTCTTAAAAAAAAAGGTCGTTCGATATCTACCCACGAATTTGTGGTAGATATTTATTGATTCTCGATCCCACCTGAATTGGAACATTTTTGTCTTTTTCGTCAGAGCAGATAATTAATTATCATCAATTTACTGCAAAATCTGAATAATCTTCCATAATGGCGGAGAGATGATAATATGAACTGTTGAACACATTCTCTGAGACAGTGGGAAAATCTAGTATCTAGTATACAATTATCATTGTCATAGATCAATGACTCCCATTTCATGTTAATACTGGGTGTCCCAAGTTATCGTATAGGTACCGGCAAAAACTTGCTTACTTGACAAGATGAACAAAAAATAGTGAAAATGCTTCAAATGACATCAGAGAACTTTCTTTATGGCTCGAAGAAAAAATGTATTAGATTGGACAGCCCCCTGGTAGCAACTCCTCAATTTTTATTCAATGGACTCCCTGTATATTGTCATTGAAAATTGCCTATCATCCTATTTCGGGAATGAACAATAGCACATCGGTACTTTGTATTTTGTTCATTAATAACAACATTAACAATAACATTTTTCGACTTCATTTACGTTACATCGATTGTAAATTGCCTCCTCCCATGTTCGTAAACCTTCGACAGGCCAAGTCAGGTGTGAGAGAGTACCAATTTGATCGAAAAAAAAATGTTGCTGTTGGAATGCAGAACGCTTTGCAGTGTATTATTAAAAATTTTGTTATTTTTTTATGTTGATGTATGACAATCTGTTCCGTTAGTGACTCATTATGAAGGACAATCTGTTCCGTTAGTGACTGATTGGGTGACAATCTGTTCCGTTAGTGACTGATTGGGTGACAATCTGTTATGTTATTAGTGACTGATTGGGTAGCAATCTGATCCGTTAGTGACTGATTGGGTGACAATCTGTTCCGTTAGTGACTGATTAGGTGACAATCTGTTCCGTTAGTGACTGATTGGGTGACAACCTGTTCCGTTAGTGACTGATGTATGATTGGGTGACATCAATATGGTCCATTAGTGACTGATTGATGACAATCTGTTCTGTTAGTGACTGATTAGTGAGATTTTGCAATCATTTTCCGTTGGTGACTGATTGATGAGTTCTTTTCATCATGTTCCGTAGTGACTTGATGGATGTATTTTTACAGAATATTATTCACGTTATTTTTTATTTGTCTTAGGCTATTTTGAGAATGCAGAACACGTGTGTTTTTCCCCACAACACCACAAAAAGCAGTCATGAGTGTGTATAGCAGAACCAAAGTTATTGTTTCGAGAGCGAAACAACGTTATTGAGAAGAACGCCTAAGGAATGCCTTGGTATTCGTAATCATCGTGTGATCGAAGATCGAAGCAGGTTTTGGGTCACTAGTAGGTATCGTGGCATCAGATCGAATCACTTGTCGATGTTGTATTGTACTGTTATGAACGGTCATCTTTGTACAAGCCGTCCTGAGTGAATAAAAATGTGTTTGAATGTTGAAATTATGTCTATTTACGATGCCTCACATTTAGAATCTTATACTATACTATACTTGTTATTTTCTAGGTAGTTTTTTTTATTGTGTCTAAAGATGACCGTAGAGCCGAAACTATAGTCACATGCTGATTATTTTTATATTAAATATTGTGGTCGACCGAATTTGAGTTCGTTTTTTGGTCCTGTTGGAAAATAATGATAGTTCCATTTTCATGAATTGAAGTGATTATGTGAGACAAATAATGGATGGTTTTGGGCTTACAAATGCTATTGAGATGAGTACCCCTGCTGATTTAAATACAATTCGAGCTGTTAATAAAACTGATAGAGACTGCACTGGAAATGTACCACACAGCGACAAGGTGTATATAGGTTCCCCAATGTTTGCAGCAATAATTGTATTCAAGACCTGATATTTCCCATGCAGTGGGATTGGTGAGTAGTAGTTACGTGGTATTACTACAATTGCACTTTGCTTTAAGGTCACCCGATATACACCCCAGACAGCACCAGATATTCCATGAATATTCATAAAATATTCTTTTTGGATATTGCGAATATTCATGAACATGTCAGGGATATTCATATCAACTATGGAATATTCCCTGAATGTGCTGGTGGGGAAAATTTTGTATATACCCGGAATATTACACAAGGAATATTCCCTATATATTCAGAATTTACCTATAATATTCTAGGAATATTCAGATAATATTCGGAATATTCTTGGAATAATACAGGAATATAAATAAATGAATATTCCGGAAATATTCCGTAATACATATTCATAATTAAAAAAAGCTGACCCAAGATGGGCTCGAACTCGGGACTTTCAGACTGTCAGATCAACGCCTTAACCACTTGGCCAGTGATCGAGTTGAATAATAATGTACATAACAATTTATTGAATTGCGTTGTTCAGAAGGGAACCATAAACACTTCCAGTTCCATATGGGCTCTTAACATGTACGATGATCTGATTGAGTACTTTGATCACTATCAAAATTGTGGAGACGACTTTTTGTTTTTGATCCCTGGTAACATAACCACTTCACTTTGAAATACGGTGGACTTCTACCACAGATTTCAAAATCAATGTTTAATACTCACATCTATAAAATTGTGATTGGTTAATTTTCATACGTTACAATTTCATTGAAGCACATGGGAATATTATTGAAATATTCCATGAATATACAGGAACAGAATATTCAATTGGGAATATTCTTGGAATATTCATACTTGCATATTCCCTGCACAATCCAACTGGAATATTCTAGGAATATTCACTTCAGAATATTCCTTCTGGAATATTCCCTGTATATTCATTTTGGAATATTACTAGAATATTCAGATTTGAATATTCCTTGAATGTTCCAGAGGCACGTATATTTTCTAAGAATATTCGAAGCATATTCGGAATATATTCTTCCCTTTTAGCATATTTAGAGAATATTCTAGGAATATCCAGTGCTGTCTGGGACGACTTTATGCCCAATATACATAACAAGTCACCAATTTATTATTTTATAATTTTTTACTTTTTCAACATCAAACAAATTTCCAAAAGGAAGTTAGAAAAAAAAATTCCAAAATATTTTTTCGAAAAAAGTAAAAAAAAAAATTCTTGGAATTTTCAATTTCTTTCGATTAGCTAAACGCAGATTGAATTCTTACAGGTACGCACTGATGATGACTTAACAGTCGAAAGCGCTCTGCTACGAATATTGAATTAATTATTTCGCACGAAATACAAATCTTCCCTTCTTTGGTAGTGAGGGCGGAGTAGGACGAGAATGCAATCATAGGTATTATTATTCCGTGGTGAGGACGGTGGGGTCAATTTTGAGACGCCGCAGTTTCAGTGTTACATATTTAGTGTCTCAGTTCACGCAGAGTGGTTCGCGTCGATACCGGTAAGAACTTTTTATTTACATTCAAACATAACGCTGGGTTTTAGTTATTTTCAGATCTTTATCTCATAACTACTGCACAAGTCAAGTGGTAGAATATCTATTTCTTGCGAAAAGTTGCCTCATCACGTTGTTAATACATATTTCTGATTTAATTCTCGTGTTGCAAAAATTGTAGGTTCCAGTGGCGTAGAAATAAAATTTTGCTTTTTTGAGGGGAAAGTTGCGGACACAGCCGATATGGTCAGAAACTATAAAAGGGAAGTGGGCATCAAGCCCGATTCAATTATTTGAAACAACATATGGATAGGGCTGTCCAAGACGTGAAATCTAGTCGCCTCAGCATTAGAGCAGCTGCTGAACAGTATTTCGTTCCCAAATCAACCCTCTCCAATCACGTGAAAGGCATGAAAAATTCATTCAAGTATGGTGGACAGACTATTTTGACACCTGTGGAAGAAAAATATCAAAGCAAAGGAATCATATAACATCGGCTAAATGGAATTATCACTCTCTGTACGTGATATAAAACAATTAGTGAAAACAAATATGGATCGCCAAGAAAGGAGAATCAACATTTTCCACGACAATCTTCTAGGTTATGAGTGAGCAAGAAATTTCCTTGGAAGACATCATGAATTATCAGTATCGTAAGAATGTCGCGGAATATGAAACGGGCAAGGGGTGAAGTTGATTCAACGATGATAGGATAATATTTTGATGAATTCCAAACTTCCCTTGAAACTGTCCCTCCTGAGAATATAATAGACTTTGATGAAACCAATTTTCCAGACGATCCAGGAAAACTCAAAGTCATCACGAAGAGGGGCACAAAACACTGTGATCGGGTCATGGATATTTCGAAGACTAGCATTTCTGTTATGATCGCCGCAGCAGCATCAGGATATGTTCTTCATTCATAAGTCGTTTACAAAGCCCAACATTCACCCAACCTGGGATTGAGAATGGACCTCCTGGTACCGTGTTCAACAGAAGTGAAAGTGGTTGGTTCGATCAATTCCGCGTCGATGATTGGTTCCATAAAATAGCACTTCCATATTTTGTAAAACTCCAAGGCCAGAAAATCCTCATCGGTGACAATTTATCTAGTCACATTTCGATTATTGCTGTGATCAAAGAATGCGAATAAAGAATAATATCCACTTCATATTATTACCACCCAACTCTACACATCTTTGCCAGCCATTGGATGTATCATGTTTCAGACCAATGAAGGAGGTATGGCGCTCTGTTTTGAGAGCATGGCAATTTAAGAACCGAGGTGTTCAAGAAAAGTGATTTTCCAAATTTACTCGATTAAACATTCCCGAAGATCCAGCTGCGATTAACAAGCAATGTGAAATCTGCATTTGCAGCATGTGGAATATTTCTGCCCCATCGAAAACGGGTCCTCAAGAAACTATACTTGACCACAAACCGATCGATGAAAATCAAAACCCAAACCCAAAAATTCTGAAAAAAGTTATATGTCAACCGACTACCCGCCGACTCGTGATGCATAATTCGGCGCCAATCAAGGGTATTGGCTATTCACCTACCAATAATAATAATAATAATTATTCATTTTTGTTTTGTTGCAAGTTGCAACGTGTGTCCCACGCTTCTCGCACGCAGCGAACAGGCGGTAAGGGCAGTAACTTTGGAGCCAGGCGGCAAAATTATCCCGCCTCGGTGCTATGGCTAGACGCTATTCGGGACGGCTGGCGTAGCTTTAGTCATTCATTTAAAGATATTTTCATTTTGCATTTGCAATTTGCAAGAAGTCGCCATATTTTGTCTTGCATTATACTATTACTCACCTATTACATACTCATACCACATCGCACATACCTACAACAGATAAAAAATTGAGAAAATGAGTGCTCTTCATGTAGATATCGAATACTGGTAAGGTATATAAAAACACAAGGAATGGGCAGGACATTATTTTGATGATTTTCCAGTGATAAATGCGGATATTCAGAAAAGTTTCATGATCTCGCTAAATATATTGAGAAGAAACATCCTTCAGTAGAAGTTAATGGTCGTGAAGGTCGTAGAGGTGAGAGAAAGAGAATTGATAGTTTACAGAAGGATGGCACATAATTCATAACCTGCTATAGTTCACGGGTTTATATCGGGTGCACGAATATTTAGAGCAGTTCAGCTAGCGTTGAGAGAGAAAAACTTGTCTTCAGTGATCCATCATAAAACAATGAGAATTTTGTGTTGGCAACACCGGAAACATATTTATTCTCTGTCAACTCTAGCTGACTGGGAACCGGAATGAGGCATATAGGTATAGGGTTTTAGACCAATCACAACGTTGAAAGATTCACACATGCGTGATACGGTTTCAGCTGTTTTTATATTTGAACCATCATATGTGTCCTTGTTCTTATTAAATAATAAAACTCATGTGATGGCAGATTTTCAATACGGATATTAAATATTAGCATTGACTTTCATCAACTTATTATGAGGGTGTCCCGAAATGAGTCTGCCAAACTTCACATGCGGCTTCTACGATTAAAAATAGGAAGAAAAGTTCCAATAAACAGATGAATGTAAATTATGACAACTATATTATTTACTTAGGTTATCGTTCAACACAGTGTATACTTTATGTGTCCGATAAACGAATACAGTCTGACAACGTTTCAAATGAGGTGGTTTATCTTCAACCTTTTTTTATGCTGACCGTTTTTGTATTCCCAGGTGTTGTATCGAAGGCGTGAATAAACCAGTTGGAAATGAGTCGTAGTTTAATTGATTTTGGTGCGTGAAATGAATAATAAAACAACAGAAAACTTAATGCAAATGCATTTGAATACAAAATATATTTTTAGGAACAGAAATTTGTCCGAAATTTTATTTTCCAGTACCTGTCACATGTCATACATTATTATCACCAGACACTTGGGAAACAATTATTCATTGATTATTATTCGATGTACCAGAGATTATACACTCATCTCTGGATGTACCTATGTCACTCGTTGATTCAAATTTATCGCCCAGATCCGCGTCGAATTTATCGTCAAGGCAAAATCGACCTGATAGATCTACAAGTCTGCCTATGCCTCGTTCCAGGTCAGATTGAATTCGTGTATACCGGGTCTTCAACATTGATGTTTGAGTGCCACGTGATCATTTTTAATGTGACGTCTCTTTTCCACCCACATAATACGAATGTATTCTTGGTTGCATAGTAATCTGTCACGTGGTTTTCAATCCTTAATATTGAAGACGATATCTTTTATGACAAATTTTTGAGCAAAACATTGGTGCAAACATGTAACATGTAAATAAAATCATAAATTACTATTGAAATAGGTGTCAAATTCATACGCCAGTGAACTCAGAGTGGGCTAACGATGATTGATGATTTTTGAACGATTAGTAAATGCATGCGAATTGGTTCTTCTTGAAATTTGAAGAAAATGATACCGCGGAAAAAATTGACATACGTTGCCATCGTGTACGAAGTACAGAATCTATGAACTCCTTTTTCGCTTTGCTCGTCGTATTCCAAACAACGCGTGCGACAAGATAGTGTATTGGAAAACTTGTATTATAATATACTATTTTGATGGTGTGCATATAAACACCAACTGGCCATCGACCAGGTCTAGCCAATGTGTGTTCTGTGTAGGTTTTAGTATATTGACTCAATACGCCACATTAGGAGCAGCACTGAATCGCAACAGTAAATCGTGTGGAATCATATCCGACCGAGGCTTGTGTCTGCCAGGGATTCGATCTCTCAACCTTTCGATGTTCTGGTTACTGGCGCCTTTAGCACTCCGTTTCTGATTATATTATTAAAATATTAAAATACTATTATCAATTCAATATTTCATTTTTATCTATTCATTATTTCATTGAAGGAAATAAATACTCTTGGCTGGGCCCCTAGGCTGACCGGTCCCCTCCTAGGCCGGTGCCTTTTAGGCCTAGACGGAAATCCAGGCCAGTCCAGAGGTAACCGACCGTTCCTGTTCTTTCTACTAACAAACCATATTGAATTCGAGTACATTGTCAGTTTCATCGAAGAAACGAATTTACCGCCACGACAAGAATCGAAACCCTGTTTCGATCAAATTCAAGTCATAAAACATTGACGGCCCTGCCCTAAAACACTCTTGCTCTCACAAAGGACCAAAAGTCCATATTCTTTCAGAATGATATCGAAAATATGTGTTTTCATTCATAGGTTCCTTTGAGGTGTCCGTGAATGGTGAAATCGTGCATTCAAAACTGTCTACCCTAGCGTATCCAGATTACGATGATCTTCAAAAGATTATTAGTGAAGCTCAGGATGGTAAACCAGCGAGAACATGCAAACAACAGCCAATCACTAGCTGTGTTATAAGTTGAGAATATTCTGATGATTGTGAAATGAATGAATATTGTAGTAGGTAGTCCATATACAAGAATGAATATAATTTCGTAGAGACAATATACCTGTTATTTCAATCTATTATTAGTATTATCATAACTCCACTGCCGGCTCCGACCAGCTCCGACTACCGACAAAACCTACTATTTCGATTCTTCGATATATGAGCAGGGTCTAAATTGTTCTAACATTGTTCTATCCGTCATTCGGTTGCTCTCTTACGGGCAACCCTTAGAAGTCATCGGGAGTCTTGTGTGAGCAAGGAATGACGGGGGCCTTACCTTAACCAAAATACTTCACAGGAAAGTGCAACTTTTCAATCATTTTGCTCAGGATAGTGATCGACACAGGTGCCGTTCGACAAAAAAATATGTTTACATCTCAATGAATGTGAAATATACTGCTGTGTACATAGGTTAAAACAGAAAAATGTCCTCAATACACATGGTGTAAAATTCTCCAATGCCTTACCTAACTGGATGAAGGCTATAAAATGTGAAAAAATTCTCAAGTCTGAAATCAAAACGAAACTAATTCAACTGGAACCTTATAACCTTGTAGACTTCTGTATATGATGATTTCCTCTATACCTTTTTTGTTGACGTAATTTCTTTTGTCTGATTTACCTGAACCACTTGTTTCTGTATCTCTTACAATATGAAATAAATATTATTATTATCATCTCTTTAGGATATTTGTCACTTTGTTATCATAGTACGGTCGAAATTTGCAGCCGTCTGTCCCACTACAAATAAATTGAAATTATACGCATATTTTTATTTCATAGAATGAAAACATCCTGTAACTCATTTGTAGACTGAAATCACTCATCCCAGCCAGCACAAAGAGGTCCTGAAGATATCTTGAAGAAGTCCTTCTAGGAAATTGTGATGCCTTTTGTAACTTCTTTGAGAGATCGCCGAGAGTGCTATATCTAGGCCAAATGTCCGCAACCTATAGGCTGAGCTCAGCGAGGTCTTGAAGATATTGCACGCAGAAATTCTCATACAATGCCCTCAGGCGCGCACTTTGAGATAAACGCTTCAATCGCCACTGGCGAGAACTGAAAATGCTCGCAATCATGAGCTGTTCGAGAAATTCGCATACATTGCTTTGTGACGAGGACATTGGGAGATTCGCATCAATTGCTTCTGGCGAGGTCTTTAAGTGCTCGCGACTACGAGCTGTTTGAGATTTTCGCACGCATCGCCTTGTGAAGAGAACTTTGGATATTTCGCATCAATTACTAATAGCGAACTCTTCAAGTGCTCGCAACTATGAATTGTTCAAGAATCCGTGCACATCGCCTTATAACAAGGCCTTTAAGAGCGATATTTGCATCAATCGCCACATGATCGCCACTAATATGGTAAGGTGTTCAATTTTTGGGAAGTCATTGGTTATCATCAGCACTCTCCTGTCGGCGAAGTCTAACTAGCGCCAGCTATATTGTTTGGGGTGAAGTTAAATTTACTGGATATTTGTTTCAGCGAAAAAGATTGAGTTACTAAACTTAGAGTTAGATCAACGTAATGAGCTTCAATTATATATTATTCTATAGCAAGACATTGATCAAGTAAACTTTATCACTTGAAAAAAATCTCTGAGGAGTTGGCCGGGTATTCTTAAAAAAAAAGGTCGTTCGATATCTACCCACGAATTTGTGGTAGATATTTATTGATTCTCGATCCCACCTGAATTGGAACATTTTTGTCTTTTTCGTCAGAGCAGATAATTAATTATCATCAATTTACTGCAAAATCTGAATAATCTTCCATAATGGCGGAGAGATGATAATATGAACTGTTGAACACATTCTCTGAGACAGTGGGAAAATCTAGTATCTAGTATACAATTATCATTGTCATAGATCAATGACTCCCATTTCATGTTAATACTGGGTGTCCCAAGTTATCGTATAGGTACCGGCAAAAACTTGCTTACTTGACAAGATGAACAAAAAATAGTGAAAATGCTTCAAATGACATCAGAGAACTTTCTTTATGGCTCGAAGAAAAAATGTATTAGATTGGACAGCCCCCTGGTAGCAACTCCTCAATTTTTATTCAATGGACTCCCTGTATATTGTCATTGAAAATTGCCTATCATCCTATTTCGGGAATGAACAATAGCACATCGGTACTTTGTATTTTGTTCATTAATAACAACATTAACAATAACATTTTTCGACTTCATTTACGTTACATCGATTGTAAATTGCCTCCTCCCATGTTCGTAAACCTTCGACAGGCCAAGTCAGGTGTGAGAGAGTACCAATTTGATCGAAAAAAAAATTTTGCTGTTGGAATGCAGAACGCTTTGCAGTGTATTATTAAAAATTTTGTTATTTTTTTATGTTGATGTATGACAATCTGTTCCGTTAGTGACTCATTATGAAGGACAATCTGTTCCGTTAGTGACTGATTGGGTGACAATCTGTTCCGTTAGTGACTGATTGGGTGACAATCTGTTATGTTATTAGTGACTGATTGGGTAGCAATCTGATCCGTTAGTGACTGATTGGGTGACAATCTGTTCCGTTAGTGACTGATTAGGTGACAATCTGTTCCGTTAGTGACTGATTGGGTGACAACCTGTTCCGTTAGTGACTGTATGATTGGGTGACATCAATATGGTCCATTAGTGACTGATTGATGACAATCTGTTCTGTTAGTGACTGATTAGTGAGATTTTGCAATCATTTTCCGTTGGTGACTGATTGATGAGTTCTTTTCATCATGTTCCGTAGTGACTTGATGGATGTATTTTTACAGAATATTATTCACGTTATTTTTTATTTGTCTTAGGCTATTTTGAGAATGCAGAACACGTGTGTTTTTCCCCACAACACCACAAAAAGCAGTCATGAGTGTGTATAGCAGAACCAAAGTTATTGTTTCGAGAGCGAAACAACGTTATTGAGAAGAACGCCTAAGGAATGCCTTGGTATTCGTAATCATCGTGTGATCGAAGATCGAAGCAGGTTTTGGGTCACTAGTAGGTATCGTGGCATCAGATCGAATCACTTGTCGATGTTGTATTGTACTGTTATGAACGGTCATCTTTGTACAAGCCGTCCTGAGTGAATAAAAATGTGTTTGAATGTTGAAATTATGTCTATTTACGATGCCTCACATTTAGAATCTTATACTATACTATACTTGTTATTTTCTAGGTAGTTTTTTTTATTGTGTCTAAAGATGACCGTAGAGCCGAAACTATAGTCACATGCTGATTATTTTTATATTAAATATTGTGGTCGACCGAATTTGAGTTCGTTTTTTGGTCCTGTTGGAAAATAATGATAGTTCCATTTTCATGAATTGAAGTGATTATGTGAGACAAATAATGGATGGTTTTGGGCTTACAAATGCTATTGAGATGAGTACCCCTGCTGATTTAAATACAATTCGAGCTGTTAATGAAACTGATAGAGACTGCACTGGAAATGTACCACACAGACAAGGTGTATATAGGTTCCCCAATGTTTGCAGCAATAATTGTATTCAAGACCTGATATTTCCCATGCAGTGGGATTGGTGAGCAGTAGTTACGTGGTATTACTACAATTGCACTTTGCTTTAAGGTCACCCGATATACACGACTTTATGCCCAATATACATAACAAGTCACCAATTTATTATTTTATAATTTTTTACTTTTTCAACATCAAACAAATTTCCAAAAGGAAGTTAGAAAAAAAAATTCCAAAATATTTTTTCGAAAAAAGTAAAAAAAAAAATTCTTGGAATTTTCAATTTCTTTCGATTAGCTAAACGCAGATTGAATTCTTACAGGTACGCACTGATGATGACTTAACAGTCGAAAGCGCTCTGCTACGAATATTGAATTAATTATTTCGCACGAAATACAAATCTTCCCTTCTTTGGTAGTGAGGGCGGAGTAGGACGAGAATGCAATCATAGGTATTATTATTCCGTGGTGAGGACGGTGGGGTCAATTTTGAGACGCCGCAGTTTCAGTGTTACATATTTAGTGTCACAGTTCACGCAGAGTGATTCGCGTCGATACCGGTAAGAACTTTTTATTTACATTCAAACATAACGCTGGGTTTTAGTTATTTTCAGATCTTTATCTCATAACTACTGCACAAGTCAAGTGGTAGAATATCTATTTCTTGCGAAAAGTTGCCTCATCACGTTGTTAATATATATTTCTGATTTAATTCTCGTGTTGCAAAAATTGTAGGTTCCAGTGGCGTAGAAATAAAATTTTGCTTTTTTGAGGGGAAAGTTGCGGACACAGCCGATATGGTCAGAAACTATAAAAGGGAAGTGGGCATCAAGCCCGATTCAATTATTTGAAACAACATATGGATAGGGCTGTCCAAGACGTGAAATCTAGTCGCCTCAGCATTAGAGCAGCTGCTGAACAGTATTTCGTTCCCAAATCAACCCTCTCCAATCACGTGAAAGGCATGAAAAATTCATTCAAGTATGGTGGACAGACTATTTTGACACCTGTGGAAGAAAAATATCAAAGCAAAGGAATCATATAACATCGGCTAAATGGAATTATCACTCTCTGTACGTGATATAAAACAATTAGTGAAAACAAATATGGATCGCCAAGAAAGGAGAATCAACATTTTCCACGACAATCTTCTAGGTTATGAGTGAGCAAGAAATTTCCTTGGAAGACATCATGAATTATCAGTATCGTAAGAATGTCGCGGAATATGAAACGGGCAAGGGGTGAAGTTGATTCAACGATGATAGGATAATATTTTGATGAATTCCAAACTTCCCTTGAAACTGTCCCTCCTGAGAATATAATAGACTTTGATGAAACCAATTTTCCAGACGATCCAGGAAAACTCAAAGTCATCACGAAGAGGGGCACAAAACACTGTGATCGGGTCATGGATATTTCGAAGACTAGCATTTCTGTTATGATCGCCGCAGCAGCATCAGGATATGTTCTTCATTCATAAGTCGTTTACAAAGCCCAACATTCACCCAACCTGGGATTGAGAATGGACCTCCTGGTACCGTGTTCAACAGAAGTGAAAGTGGTTGGTTCGATCAATTCCGCGTCGATGATTGGTTCCATAAAATAGCACTTCCATATTTTGTAAAACTCCAAGGCCAGAAAATCCTCATCGGTGACAATTTATCTAGTCACATTTCGATTATTGCTGTGATCAAAGAATGCGAATAAAGAATAATATCCACTTCATATTATTACCACCCAACTCTACACATCTTTGCCAGCCATTGGATGTATCATGTTTCAGACCAATGAAGGAGGTATGGCGCTCTGTTTTGAGAGCATGGCAATTTAAGAACCGAGGTGTTCAAGAAAAGTGATTTTCCAAATTTACTCGATTAAACATTCCCGAAGATCCAGCTGCGATTAACAAGCAATGTGAAATCTGCATTTGCAGCATGTGGAATATTTCTGCCCCATCGAAAACGGGTCCTCAAGAAACTATACTTGACCACAAACCGATCGATGAAAATCAAAACCCAAACCCAAAAATTCTGAAAAAAGTTATATGTCAACCGACTACCCGCCGACTCGTGATGCATAATTCGGCGCCAATCAAGGGTATTGGCTATTCACCTACCAATAATAATAATAATAATTATTCATTTTTGTTTTGTTGCAAGTTGCAACGTGTGTCCCACGCTTCTCGCACGCAGCGAACAGGCGGTAAGGGCAGTAACTTTGGAGCCAGGCGGCAAAATTATCCCGCCTCGGTGCTATGGCTAGACGCTATTCGGGACGGCTGGCGTAGCTTTAGTCATTCATTTAAAGATATTTTCATTTTGCATTTGCAATTTGCAAGAAGTCGCCATATTTTGTCTTGCATTATACTATTACTCACCTATTACATACTCATACCACATCGCACATACCTACAACAGATAAAAAATTGAGAAAATGAGTGCTCTTCATGTAGATATCGAATACTGGTAAGGTATATAAAAACACAAGGAATGGGCAGGACATTATTTTGATGATTTTCCAGTGATAAATGCGGATATTCAGAAAAGTTTCATGATCTCGCTAAATATATTGAGAAGAAACATCCTTCAGTAGAAGTTAATGGTCGTGAAGGTCGTAGAGGTGAGAGAAAGAGAATTGATAGTTTACAGAAGGATGGCACATAATTCATAACCTGCTATAGTTCACGGGTTTATATCGGGTGCACGAATATTTAGAGCAGTTCAGCTAGCGTTGAGAGAGAAAAACTTGTCTTCAGTGATCCATCATAAAACAATGAGAATTTTGTGTTGGCAACACCGGAAACATATTTATTCTCTGTCAACTCTAGCTGACTGGGAACCGGAATGAGGCATATAGGTATAGGGTTTTAGACCAATCACAACGTTGAAAGATTCACACATGCGTGATACGGTTTCAGCTGTTTTTATATTTGAACCATCATATGTGTCCTTGTTCTTATTAAATAATAAAACTCATGTGATGGCAGATTTTCAATACGGATATTAAATATTAGCATTGACTTTCATCAACTTATTATGAGGGTGTCCCGAAATGAGTCTGCCAAACTTCACATGCGGCTTCTACGATTAAAAATAGGAAGAAAAGTTCCAATAAACAGATGAATGTAAATTATGACAACTATATTATTTACTTAGGTTATCGTTCAACACACTGTATACTTTATGTGTCCGATAAACGAATACAGTCTGGCAACGTTTCAAATGAGGTGGTTTATCTTCAACCTTTTTATATGCTGACCGTTTTTGTATTCCCAGGTGTTGTATCGAAGGCGTGAATAAACCAGTTGGAAATGAGTCGTAGTTTAATTGATTTTGGTGCGTGAAATGAATAATAAAACAACAGAAAACTTAATGCAAATGCATTTGAATACAAAATATATTTTTAGGAACAGAAATTTGTCCGAAATTTTATTTTCCAGTACCTGTCACATGTCATACATTATTATCACCAGACACTTGGGAAACAATTATTCATTGATTATTATTCGATGTACCAGAGATTATACACTCATCTCTGGATGTACCTATGTCACTCGTTGATTCAAATTTATCGCCCAGATCCGCGTCGAATTTATCGTCAAGGCAAAATCGACCTGATAGATCTACAAGTCTGCCTATGCCTCGTTCCAGGTCAGATTGAATTCGTGTATACCGGGTCTTCAACATTGATGTTTGAGTGCCACGTGATCATTTTTAATGTGACGTCTCTTTTCCACCCACATAATACGAATGTATTCTTGGTTGCATAGTAATCTGTCACGTGGTTTTCAATCCTTAATATTGAAGACGATATCTTTTATGACAAATTTTTGAGCAAAACATTGGTGCAAACATGTAACATGTAAATAAAATCATAAATTACTATTGAAATAGGTGTCAAATTCATACGCCAGTGAACTCAGAGTGGGCTAACGATGATTGATGATTTTTGAACGATTAGTAAATGCATGCGAATTGGTTCTTCTTGAAATTTGAAGAAAATGATACCGCGGAAAAAATTGACATACGTTGCCATCGTGTACGAAGTACAGAATCTATGAACTCCTTTTTCGCTTTGCTCGTCGTATTCCAAACAACGCGTGCGACAAGATAGTGTATTGGAAAACTTGTATTATAATATACTATTTTGATGGTGTGCATATAAACACCAACTGGCCATCGACCAGGTCTAGCCAATGTGTGTTCTGTGTAGGTTTTAGTATATTGACTCAATACGCCACATTAGGAGCAGCACTGAATCGCAACAGTAAATCGTGTGGAATCATATCCGACCGAGGCTTGTGTCTGCCAGGGATTCGATCTCTCAACCTTTCGATGTTCTGGTTACTAGTCGAGCGCCTTTAGCACTCCGTTTCTGATTATATTATTAAAATATTAAAATACTATTATCAATTCAATATTTCACTTTTATCTATTCATTATTTCATTGAAGGAAATAAATACTCTTGGCTGGGCCCCTAGGCTGACAGGTCCCCTCCTAGGCCGGTGCCTTTTAGGCCTAGACGGAAATCCAGGCCAGTCCAGAGGTAACCGACCGTTCCTGTTCTTTCTACTAACAAACCATATTGAATTCGAGTACATTGTCAGTTTCATCGAAGAAACGAATTTACCGCCACGACAAGAATCGAAACCCTGTTTCGATCAAATTCAAGTCATAAAACATTGACGGCCCTGCCCTAAAACACTCTTGCTCTCACAAAGGACCAAAAGTCCATATTCTTTCAGAATGATATCGAAAATATGTGTTTTCATTCATAGGTTCCTTTGAGGTGTCCGTGAATGGTGAAATCGTGCATTCAAAACTGTCTACCCTAGCGTATCCAGATTACGATGATCTTCAAAAGATTATTAGTGAAGCTCAGGATGGTAAACCAGCGAGAACATGCAAACAACAGCCAATCACTAGCTGTGTTATAAGTTGAGAATATTCTGATGATTGTGAAATGAATGAATATTGTAGTAGGTAGTCCATATACAAGAATGAATATAATTTCGTAGAGACAATATACCTGTTATTTCAATCTATTATTAGTATTATCATAACTCCACTGCCGGCTCCGACCAGCTCCGACTACCGACAAAACCTACTATTTCGATTCTTCGATATATGAGCAGGGTCTAAATTGTTCTAACATTGTTCTATCCGTCATTCGGTTGCTCTCTTACGGGCAACCCTTAGAAGTCATCGGGAGTCTTGTGTGAGCAAGGAATGACGGGGGCCTTACCTTATAACGTGTGATCCCAAACACTTTCTTGGACCATCAGAAAAATTCTTGCAGTCGATGGGAATCGACCGTCAAGCGAATGCGGATTAGAATATTGACACTCTGTCCGCACGGTCTCCCTGAAAGGTCTGTACGAAACCTTACTACATATCCTTGAGGTCAAAATGAGCCTATTTTAATCAATTTCCTCAGTCCGAAATTGCTACGTTTCCGAGATACAGGGTGGTGAAGATGAAAAATAAGAATTGACAAGTACACTCCTAGAAAGTATTTTGAAAAATACATTTTTGCACTGCCAATTCCAATTTATATTCACGAAAAAAAAAGCAAACCTCATTCATTCAAAACAATTGGAATATTTTGGTGCTGCATCGAATACTGAAAATATACACCAACTTGCAATGTATGGTAAAAACGATGGTGAGATACACTACAAGCAATGTATTGTAAAAATATAGTTTCTGCAATACATTGATTTCAATGTATTGCAAAAACTGATTCATACCATACATTAACTATCAATGTATTGTAAAAACAAACATTTGAACAATTCATGTATTGAAATAATTGATATAGCAAAATTCATCAAATGCAATAACCCATTTTTGCAAAACATTAAGCCTCATGTATTGTAAGTAAAAACATGGTAAAAACTAAAAAGATAAACAAAGCTCGAGAAGAAAAAGATAATGTCTTCTTCTTTTTTTGGCCTGTGGACCTCTATAACAGAGAGTCCAAAGTTTGAAATAATAATAACTGTTGAAGATAGTCGTACATCATATCATTCCTCTAATATTTTAATTCGCCTTTTATGAAAGGTAAGATTAAAACTGTTAGTTTTCTCTTCACACCCTTATGCCCTTTAGTTATTATATAAAACTGCCAAAATGGTGAGGTGAGTTTACCATCCCATCACATTCATTTACCTTTACAATTGCCTACCCTAGAACATTCCTAGAACAAATCCACCTTTCTAATTTCTTAGAACACTACTCATTTAGAAGCTATATATACCTATTTCAATTTGTACAAGAAAAATATTCAAATACCTTTTTTATTTTATACATTCTCAGAATTTTGATAAATCTTTTTCAGTATATATATATAGGGGTTCGTTCAGTTGTTTTTGACTTTTGACATCTGGGCATCAAGAGCACAGAACTCAAAAATATTATGCATTCTATGATTTAAGAAAAGTAGAGAAGAAGAAAAAGATAATCGAAACTAGATCGAAACCTGAAAATCAATCTGTTGCAAAAACTCATTTTTGCAATACATTAAGCTTCAGGTATTGTAAAAAACAATAGATAAAGACTTGAGTTATCGCAAAAATGTATCTCATCTACTGTCATGAAATTTTATGTATTACGAAAATTGCTTTTTTACAATACTATGCTTTCAATGTAGCGCAGATTATCGGGTTTTACAATAGGTGTTTCTACAATATATGCATCCTAGTTTCGGAGAAACATGAACTCCATTTGTATTATAAAGTAAAAAAGACCTCCATCGAATCACGTGATATATTATGGAGGGCAATAGGGCATTCACTCGTAGAAAAACTTAGAATCATAAACGAGGGCCTCGGGGAAAAATCACAGTAGCCTGTGGCCATGCTATTAGTAGACCAGAATGAAACTCCCTGACCAAAATCCGCCTCCACAATACTTTTTGCCGAACATTTTCATCAAATAACACGAATTCCATATCACGCGATGGGAATGATTCGAAAGATTTAGGCACTTTCAAATTATGGTTCTGTTGGCAATGCTGCTGATCCTGCATGTCCTATGACTGTCAAAGTCAAAAATGTCAAGGTGATATGGAAAGGAATAACAAAACATAATTCTAATCTAATCATATTTGTTATATTTAAAATTCAATTCAACTATATTTTGAAAAAGTTATGACTGACAAGAAGCAAAATCCACTAGACATAAATGGTCCAAATTTCAGTCCTAACATGTATTTGGATAAATTATTCAAAGTGAGTAGGTTTATTCTAATTGATTCTATAGGAGATTCTCCATAGAATTGGAAAACAATACTTATAACAGTGGATATTGAAAAACAATTTAATAATTTCAATTATGATTAATATTTCCCTCAACAAATGTGGCTCTTTGCCTACCTAAAGGATTCTCAATTGACTAAATCTCTTGTCTATTGCCATGTATCTTTCATGTCTCTTGTGTCTTACACTGCACACTGGAGAGGATGTAAATCAATGTGTAATCATCAAATACCCATAATAATGAAGTCGTCAATATTATTATGATGAAGATCATCATGGACATCAAGATGTGGGTACATGAAGGACACTATTGAATGCTCACTCACATAAATTTTCCCCAGTTGGTTTTTCTATATTCATGCAGTCTATTAATTGAATATATGTCATATCAGCTTATCCTCCAATGCATTTGAATGCTGAACAAACTGTGGTCCTATTAGTAGCAGAACTGAAGGGGTGTCTTGAATGTACTATTGAGAACAACATTTTTAGTTTAATTTGGCTTTTCACTTGCATAATTCAAGTGCTGCCTTCCTATTGAGTTCCAACAATGGGGGGTCTTATATTTTTCATAATATGGTCATCTCTTTTTTTTGAAGGAAAGATATATGTATATTGAACTCCCTAACCATCCTTAACTGCCTCACTGGAATTCAGGTCAACTGTACAGAATTGTTTCTATTATGATGATCATACCTTCCTACAATGTTTTCACAGTATTTATAGTGTGAAGTCAATGAAAAGATCTTGGAAGTGACTTCAATATACTAGCTTCAATATTATGAAAGACTAGTTTGGCTGGAATTTTAATCAATCAACTGTATTCTCAGATGTCTCAAGAAACAACATTATTTGTTTATAGCCAGGAACATAGTGAATGTACACTCAGTCAAAAAAAGTGAAGCACTTGATATTTGACCTATCTTCTTAAAAAAAAACAAAAAATAGTAGGCCGATTTTTAATTTTTTCATTTGTTGGTAGGTAATGCATTTGTCTTTGAAAAGAAATAATGAGGTGACATTTTTTTCAAAGCCTCCTTGATGGTGGTGGAATAACTCCAACCATGATTTATTCCTAATTGTTGACTCACCCTGTGTGTTAATTGAGTAATGGCATAGAAAGTGCTTTCACCCTATATGAAAGAGGTTTATTTTGTGAGCATTTTGTTTTTTTATTCATTGATTTATCTCTAAAATTTTCCAAATTACAGCTTTTTTGCAGATACCTTATGCTTATCCCACAAATTAAATTTATTGAAGGATCAGAGTACTCAAAATTAATTGGGTTGTACTCTGGTAGGATCACATTGTCTTTAAAAAAACAAATGCTGTTGCCATGGCAACTAATATTTTTTTTTTTTTTTTTTATTTATTTACGGGAAACCCCATTACAAAAAAATATACATAAATTACATTTATTCATAGAGAATGAGCTTAAAACTACTAAATAAATATTCACTACATATTATATATGCCAGAAATTTCAAAACCCTTCAAAATATAGATCTGACAAGTGTTCTGAATCTATTTAATGATCCATGAAGAATGTCTAAATCGGTTTCGTTAATTATTTTCAATGTTCTTTCAACAACTTCGGACACACAATAAATCCATTTATTAATTTGAAGATGAAACATAAGTCGTTGGTTAATCTACGATTTTTCAGAGTCTGCATCTTCAGATCATCAAGTATTGAAGCGTAATCATGGTTATGTATGGTTGTATTAAGTTTATATGCACAAAATCTTAAGAATTTGTTCTGAGTGCGTTCTAATGTATAATTATGTACTTGATAGAATGGTGACCAGACAATAGAGGCATAATCTAGGTGAGAAACTACCAGCGACATATACAACATCCTAACTGTATGGACAGAGAAAATGTTACAGTTTCTAAGAATGCACCCCAAAATCTTCGAAGACTTGATTGCTACATTATTAATGTGTTCCACAAAACTCATATTTTGTTCAAAAACCACTCCTAAGTCCCTCACTGATGACACAGATAAAAGTTCTTTATCTTTAATGTAATAAGAAGATTCATATTTCTTTTTTATTTTGTAGAAGCTAATAAAAGTACATTTTTCAATATTTAGATATAGTTTATTTTTATCACACCAATTAATTAACCTATTTAGGTCTTCTTATAGACTTTTTTCATCCATATATGAGTTAACAGGTCCATACAGTTTCAAATCATCAGCAAACAATAGATATTTACTATATATGAAGCAGTCGCCGATATCATTAATGAATAGGTTGAATAATAGTGGAGAACAATGTGAACCCTGTGGAACCCCAGATGTCACATCAATATCCTTTGAAAGATAAGACCCAACTTTAACTTTCTGTTTGCGACCAGATAAAAAGCTCTTTAGCCAATTCAATAGAGTTTCATTAAAACCAATATTTTTTAATTTAAGCAATAATAAATAATCAAATGCTTTGCTGAAATCTGTATAAATTGAATCTAATTGCATTTTCTGTTCCAGAGTTGATATGATATCATTGTTATAAATTAACAGATTTGTTACTGTGGATCTTTTAGCCATAAAACCGTGCTGATTGTCATTAATGATCTCTTTACACAAAAAACTGATTTGGTCAAACACTAAGCTATCAAATAACTTGGGTATCGCAGATTGATTAGATATCCCTCTATAATTTTTAATATTTTCTTTTTCACCCGATTTGAATATGGGTATTATATAACTGTTTTTCCAGATATCAGGAAAAATTCCAGAGTTCAATGATAGATTAAAAATCATACAAAGTGGATGTGCAAGAGAACAAATACATTGTTTAAGAAATATGTTGGGTATACCATCAGGCCCACAGTTGATCTTTGAAGGGATTTTATCGATCTTATCGTACACTGTGTAAACAGAGAAATTAGAAAAACCTATATCATGATTTGTTATGTTCGTTAGATCGTCATCAGGAGCTACTCGATTGTTAACATATATCGTAGAGAAATAGTCTGCAAACAACTGTGAAATTGCTTCACCGTCGCTAGCGGTTTTGTCTTCCAAAAATAAGTTTTGAGGAATACTAAATGATGATTTTTTGTTATTTACAAATTTCCAGAATGATCTTGGATCTTTTGACAAGTTGTTGTCTATTTTATTCATGTATTGTTCGTAACATATTTTGGACAGATTTTTACCCTGTGCTCTGAGATCAACGAAATTTTCATAATATGCCATATTACCTGTTTGTTTGTATTTTTTATGAACCTCCCTCTTTTGTATGACCCCATGCCTTAAATTTGCATCAAACCATTTTGGAAAAGATGATACTTTGTATTGTTTCAACGGGACAAATTGTTTGATTGCCATGTTCAAAATTTGATAAAATGTTTCAACAGCTGTGTTTACATTTTTACTATCTAACCATTCTGTCCAATTTATTGGTGACAAGTAATTGTTTAAACCAACTACATCAGCATTGATGAAATCATAGTAATACTCCACATATTTAAATTTTTTGTCGCTCATATTATTTAAATGAATATTGAAGGTATATGCTTCATGATGAACTGAGCTAGGAAATAAAGGATCAATACTAGCTAAGCTAACATTCACAGATTCAAGGTTAGAAAAAAGTAGGTCTAAAAATACATTTCTGGAATTAGGAATTTCGACAAGTTGATAGAAATTGAGAAATCCATAGCACTGGGCTAAAATTGTAGAACAGTTGCTTTGATTGCCATTTGTAGATGTGCCTAGATTGTCATTTTTCCATGTCACATCTGGTAGATTGAAATCTCCATAAACAAAGAAATCTTGCAGAGGGTAATTAACACGTATTTCCTCGACAGCTTGCACGTGTGATGAAAATTTTTCTTCAGGAGCGTTTGGAGGAAGATAAACACCACAAATGATAAACTCCTTTTTGTTATACCTGCAGTGAACAAACAATTGTTCTGTGTTTTCATTTGTCAACGCCAATTTTCTAGCACTGATGCGTTCGTGAATAGCAATTAATATTCCACCCCCTCTCGATTTCTCGCTCGTTGATTGAGATCTATCGCAGCGGAAGACATTGTAATTATTCAATTTGAGTTCGTTATTAGAAATATCACTGTTTAGCCAACTCTCTATCAAGATGATTATGTCATAATTGGAACATGCCACTGCTGTGGTTAACTGCATTATCTTTGTTCTCAATCCGCCGACGTTATGACAATACACTTGCAATGGGGTATTGATTAGTTTTTTCTATTTTCTGATTTTTGCTGAATCACTGGAGTTCCTTTATAGAATCTAATCTCTATATTACGTTCGCCTTTTCCAATTCTTGTATTAAATTCTTCTTTAACCTTTTTGAAGTATTCACGTTGGGTGGGAGTCTGATCCGCACTCAAACGAATAGGAGTCTCTTCAGCTACCAGTTTCCTTTTATTTTTCAGGCAGTTCAGAGCGATATTGTTGTCAGAAAAAGATATTTTAAGAGGGCGTGGTTTATTGTTGGGATGACCAAGGCGATGAGCTTTAAATTCTCCGCCCTGTACGTTCAGATGGTATAACACATTTTGGCATTGTTCTTTATCAAATTTGATTCTTTCTGAATATTCTTGAGCTTGAGATTCTTGAACATTATATAAAATTATGTTTCTGGCCCTGTCTGCTCTATCCTGAATTTCTCTATAAAAAGCTTCACCATCAACTTGTAGATGCTTTTGAGATTCCATACTTTTTTTAATTTCACAAACTTCATGTTTCAAAGTTTTGTTAGCTTCGATGAGATCTTCGATTTTTCCAAGTCTCTGCTCTAGGTGTTTGTTGGATTCTAATATCTGTTCCATTTTTATTATTCTCTGTTCAAACGTAATAAATTTGCTATTGAAATTGGATGACTGATCTTGGATCTCCTCTTCAAGCTTAACGATTTTTCGGGCAAGAGACGGAACTGTGTTAACCCTGCATGGAGGGCAGAAAAAAGGCATTACTCTCGTAGGAATTACTACTGCCC